TCCGTTCTTGCTCCAACATAGAGTTTGGTAGCTTGGAAGGCTAAAGTCTAATCTCTAGCCACCCCTGTTATTCTGGGTTCAGAAGTGCATTCAGGCCTGTCTTATATCCTTTCATGTAGGCAGAAGAAGAGCAAGCATAACATCTATTCTGGACTGTAACCTAACTCATGGTGGGGTGGAGGAGTGAGAGAGAGAGATAATGTATGTGTTCAGTTCTTTGTGGGGAAGAAGGTGGGAGTTGACTGTCGGTCCTTCCAAGTGTGTACATTCACTTGCCAGTTACTTGCATGTTTTCAGATCCATGGTCACTGATCTGAAAAAAAGCTAAATATCTCAATCTCCAAGGTGGCCATTTGGAATCTGTCTCAGAGAAAGCTTTTGACTTCACGTGTTTTAAAGTCCGTGGCAATAAAACATGGAAGAGGCTTAAATGATAGCTATATAGCCATCCATACTTAAACAGTATGGATGTAAAGAAAACTTGAAGGCTTTGGTTAAAGTGTTGAATATACTTCTCTTTACTGTTGAGACACGTTAGTTGTTCAGCTTAAATAACTAAGTTTTAATTAGAATAAATTACTTAGGGTTATCATATAGTGTGATTTGTGCTGTTTGCCTAGGTTTACTTAGCATGAGTAGCTAGATTTGCTGAAGCCTTTAGGCTGCAGGAGAGTTAATTTTCTTGGTATTTTTCCTAGCAGCTGGTACAGAGCTGTGTTTAGTCTTTTAATATGAGGAAAATTTCAGTAACATGCTGATGTTTTGGTAGTGTTTTCCCCAAGTCTGGGACTTTTCAGTTCCCCATGTTCTGCCAGTGAGCACAGGCACACAAGAAGCATAAACCAGAAGGTAAGAAGTCTACAACCTCAGCAGAGACTGCAAATCAACAAGATAAGAGCAGTCAACAGCCCGCCTGCCTGGACACAGGAAAAAACAATCCAATAAGGTGTTAGAAGACTTCAGACCAAAAATCAGAAGACTTCAGACCAAAAATCACCGTTGGACTAAAAGACACGTGACCAGCACATGAGGGGCGGCTGTATAGATCAAAAGGGTCTAATTGCCCAGGGATTCCTTTGTTTGAGGTCCCTCTGTTGTTGGAGGCACCCCACTCGGGTGCTGCTTTACCTTTAAATTAAATTACTTATTTTTATAAAATCTGACACCCTAAAACTCTACCATGGGAAGCCTAGAGAAACCTCCTGAAGAACGAGGGATTATGTCCAAAAGTAAGTGTGTGTCTGTGTGAGGAGTCATAAGGGGCACCTGTGAGCTCAGTGGGGTCACCTGCTGCGAAGGGACCCTGGTCCAAGCAGTGAAGGACTTCAGTGGTGTGTGTGTGCAACTCTTTGAATGGTGTATGAATGCTCGGGCAGTGGCTTCTCCTTTAATTTAGAAATTAGAAAATACCTGTGTAGAAAATGGAATTCAAAGTAATACTGATACAATGTGTGAGCAAGTGAAAATCTTTGGGGGACTTGATTTCAGCTTGTGAAATGTGTGTTAGAACCCTGAAAAGCTGGCATCTCCTATTACAGTTTCACATTTGTTAGTCTGCACTGATCTATTCTAACTGCTATGTAGTCATGTGCTGGAGATCCTGTGGAGTTTTGTTTTTCTGAGAGGTGTAGTTATTCAGGAAAGCTGCATTGAGCCTTGTTGATTGAAGCAGTATCACCTGTGCTTCTTACAAGGAAGTTTATGGATGCTATTGACATTGCCTTCATTTACAGCAAAATAGACCACTGATGTGTGCTCACTAGTAGGAGTCTGCTTTCAGTAGAGTAAATCAAAATACCTATAGCTTTACACTTAATTAGAAACTTCCAAACAGACAGTGAGGCTTCTTTGAAACCCCATCATTACATCTTGCTTGTGAGTGCTTTAATGCTAGCTTGAGCTAGGGATTATTTTGTGTGCCAAGTTAGTAGGTGTAGGTGCCTGTGTTTACTTTAATACATTCTGAACTGCTTTTGGCGGGTTGTTAAATGATTTAATATTCGGTTACATGAACATACAGAGGATGCTGTTTTGATAATGCAGTTGACCTGACAGTGTGTATATAATATGCACATGGAATATTTTTGTGACTGTATACTTTAAGACTGTTTATGTATGTTGGTATTGCATAACTGTAATTTCTTTGGAGAATACGTAGACATACTATAAGCCCTGGATGAGTTGCATTTGTCCTTGGAGGGAAGTACAGCAGAAGAAAAGGGGAAAGAGCTATTGACAAAACCAGGGAAATGAGTCTGAAAAAAAAATAAATAGAGAAACTGCTGTGACAGAAACAGAATCTAACTTGTCAGAGTAGTTCTCACACCAAGAAATCCATTTTGGACCATAAGCACTATCACCTCTTTGTGTATGAGAGCTAACTACCTGCACAAAAGCAGGGTAGAAAAGTTGGAAGGGAATAATGAAGTTGACAAACCTTCTTCAGGTCTTTGTGGGGGTTGGGTTTTTTGTACCCTTACAGGAAAGCAAGCTATTAAGTAGGTGAAAGGAAGAGAATACAAATATGTGAAAGTTTAAAGAATGTACAAAATACATTAAAAGGTGAATATTAATAGGAGAAGTAGGCAGCAGAAGGATTTCTTTGATTTAACTAATAACTTCCCCATTCTGACTGGGAACTGAGATACCAGAAAAGTTTCTCTTTCAGTTTGTTAGGAGAATGTACTCTTACGTTCTTCAGTGATTTCAAAAATCTTAAAAAATCAGCTTACCCAAATCTTTAATTAAGGACATCTTTCTTTGCTTCTTCAAGTCTGTGTTGCTTTCGAAAGTGATATGATACTTTTTTTTTTTTTTGTCAAATGAAACATTGAGTTTAATGTAAAAAACCACAGTGAATTATCAACTTGTTTTAGTAATAGTAACATTTAAGTATCAGGCATTTTTTCTGAGCTAAATAAACTTAGAGGGCAAACACAAGTCAAGGTTAAACTCTGTAAATCTCCCTGCTTGCTTGCTTTACATCAATCCATCATTCTCTGTTGACTTTCTAAATCAACAGCCTAGTAGAAGGATTGTAGAGTCATAGTCTCTCTCATATTCAGATGTGCTGAGCCAATGATTAACTACACCACCCCATACTTGAAGTGCCAATGTTGAGTAAAAAATACAGGAAATTGCTGAAGAGGAGGAAGAGACTGCTGTATGTGTGCCTGTTACAAGGAGGAAATTAGAACTTAAAAGCTCTTGTCTTTCTTCCAGTTGTTACTTTCTGACCAGACCAGATACCGTGTTCTTTCTTTGAGTTGTTGTGTAGTATTTGTGGTCCTACAGGTGACAAGATTGAAAAGTCCAGGCATCTTTATGCCTGGATGAGGATCTTAAGTTACACGTAAATGTGATCTTCTTAGCTACCATCTAATTTGGTGGCAAAAGACTTTTAGGCAGCATTTTGGTTGATGTTCGTAATCTCTGTCTTTGCACTGGATGTTTGAAGTGTTGCTGATCATACCAAGAAAATGGAACAGTTCAAATGTGACTGTGTAGAAGTAACCTAAATACACAGATCAGCTCTGACACAGATTCATTGCTTTTATGTGGATAGTGTGATTGTTGCTGTGTAATTGAATTACATTAACTTTATTTTATTATGGAGTTTCTTGTGTGTTACTTGTTTTCTAAAGACTTTTTCCAGTGGTAAAACAATGTGCTAATATAGAGGGAGGACTAGTCTTTGGGACGAGGGTATCAGATAAGATTCAGGGCTTTGTTGTTTGAAGCAAATGTAAAAGGAGTCCCAATAATATAGCCTTTATGCTACATTATTACACTCTTGGCCTTGGTATGAGGTGGTATTTTAATGTAAAGGTCTATACAACGTGTAACATGAAAAGGCATCTTTGGAATTTGGGATGGCCTGTGTTTTTGTTTGTCTGAGGAAAAACAAGAATAAAAAAGAACTTAATCACCGTATGATTGTTCTGTATTCTGGAGCCAGATGATAAGCGTATTGGGAGGGGAAAGAGCTTTATGAAGCTCCATTGGTAATAATTATGCTTGTTTCCTTGTTCCATAGCAGATGTTTAGCAGAATTTGTAATAGGCTGCCTGTCTGACAAACTTTGGGTTTCCTTCAGATGAGAGGTGGAAGTAGTTCTTAGTTTCTTCTTCCCCACTGTTTATGCCACATGCAGTTCTGAGCGTGGCCTCTTGCATTCCAAGTATGCTACGCATTGGTGAGCCTGTCCCTGCATCACTTGGTAACAGGGCTCCAGTTCTGAGGCCCCAGCTGTTATGTCAGGACGTATTACTGGAAACGAGGTAGTTTTCAGCAAGAAAGATAGCTCCCTTTGGAAAGACAGCCAGCTGTCTTCATCTTAAACTATGGCAAACTTTTCACGTTTATTAGGTTTTGCCTTAGCAATACTAAAAAAATAGTTGATCGAACAGAGTAAAGAACACCTGGGAATACAAATTACAGTGTTTGTGTCTTTATCCCCTCCTGCATTACTAATTAATGCAAATCAGAAGAGCGAGAAGGAGAAATGGGAAGTTCAAGCTGATTTGCAGGTTATTAGAAGCTTATTCAGGCTATAATACTTGGAGCCTTACTTTGTGCTAGTCAAGCACTGAAAAGAAGGCTTATCTTCAAATTGCTTCAGCTTTGAAAGAAGGAACACAGTCAGTGCTGACAGCAGATTGAATTGCCAGCCCTTTAACAGATATCTGGTGAGAACTTACCAATGATTTTCTTCTCTCAGAAAGTTTCCACATTACCTAAATATTTGTGTTTCTCAGAAAATTGAATTCATAATGCGTGACTAACATCAGAATCACAGTTTTCTCTGCTCAATATTTAAGCATTCTGCAAAACCTTGTATCTATTTTTTTCCCTTTTTTTTTTTAATGTGACAAGTCTGTATTTGATCATTTGGGAAAAAAAAGTTCATTATCTTTTAACTGAACCGGCCAAAAAGCACCACATCTTCAGTTAACCACACCAAGGGAAAATTCATACTGAATGGTTGAAGTTTGGTAAAAATGGAAATAATGGAAAACAAATCCCATAGTGTAGTCTCACTCGTAAGTAGTGTTTCCTCTACCACATACATTTTTCAGAGTACAGTAAGATACTGTGTTTTTAAAGCTAGGCTTGTTCGTTCCTCTAACATATTGAAATAGAACTTTGTGGAGCAATAAGAAGCTCTTGTGGGTCATAAAACCAGGAAATTACTTCAGAAGCCACTGCATACATAGACTAACTTTTCAGGTTATTTGTCAAAGAATAACCTAAACTCTAATTTCAATTAATGCAGAATCTGTTCCAATGAACTTTTAGGTATTCTAAGAAATAGATGTGGTTTAGACCATGTTAATAATGTAATTTTAGTACAATAGTAATTTTTAAGCTATCTTTAAAAAGGCACAATAGAAATTTTTTTTTGTATATTCCTTTTTTTTTTATTGTGAAATTTCTGTTCTTGAAGTTCTGAATGAATACACACAACCATATGACAGATAAAGTTACTGGTGGCATTTTTAGATAGAGAAGAAATGAAAGTAGGTTGAATGTACAAGTGCATGTTGCGTGTTATTTAAGGTAACAGTGTGGTTTCATACTATTTCCCGTCTCAGAATAACTTCTCTTGTGCAAGTAGTACTGGCCAGTTGACATTTTGTATTCCTGAGCAAACTAAACAGATAATGTTGTAGAAGATCTTAAGGTAAACTTTGCATTGTCTTGAAAATATACCATAGTGTAAATGACCTTTTTGGGGATTTTGTTGTAGCAACTCAAGAGCAAAAATGTACTACTTTTTCATAAAGGAAGTTTATGATGAAAGAGACAGTGAATGATTTGTCCACAAATAATGTGTGGATTCTACTTTATTGTGATCTGAGAAAAAAATCCTGAGACTACTTACTTTAAGTATGTAGTGTAATGGTAGCTTGAACAATAATAAGTTAAATGTTAAGTCTTGCGAATTGTCATGTTTGGATAAAAACGGTGTATTTCAGGGCTCATTTCTACTTAAATATGTTTTGTGAAATCTCTAGAGATGGAAAAAAAATCTATAATAATCTGTTATCAACGATATAATAATATGAATAAGTACTACCATTAAAATATTAAAATGATGATAGTGATAATAATAACAATAATGAAGACTACCTCAAGGTAAAAGATTACCTCAGCTCTCTTTCCACTGAAGAAAATTACTACCAGTAAATGTATGTGAAATGCTTATGTTAATATCAAACAAATGTCTTTCTAAATACTGTATTAATCACATGGTGGGTAGAAATGCTTTCTAAGCAAGATTACATTCATAAAAGTAGGAAATCTTCAATGTATTCTTATTTTCATTTTTATTTATTTATTCAGAAAATAAATGCTAAGCTTCATGATGGAGTGTGTCAGCACTGCAAAGGTATCTTGGAGTGGCGGGTAAAATTCAGCAAGTATAAACTACTATCAAAACCTAAAAAATGGTGAGTTAAGATACTATGTACTAATTGATGATAGTGTAGTTTGTGAACTTTCTGGGAAATAGTCTAGTTTTGGAAACTCACAAGTAGTAGTTGCTACTATATGACATTCTTCAAATTTGGAGTCTGCAATGACAATATATATGCAATCTTAGTTTTCTTGTTCATTAGTCTTTTATCTTAAACTTTTGAAAAGAAAACACAGAGGAAAAGCAACTGCTTCCCTCTTTGCTGTTAAAATGCTTGAACTGTGGACCTGTAAGTTTCCAAAACTGTCAGTGTATCCTCCTAAACAAAAAGTCGAACCTTAACCAGCTGTGACACAGTTTTTCAAGGCCTCGTTGTGACTTAATACTAGATGAATCTGCACATCTCTTAACTTTTGTAATACACAGACTTTCTGGTAGAGAAATGAGCAGAGGAAGGCTTTAGCTTTGTGTGGTATCAAATCTCAGCAGCAGCACTGTTCTTAGCATTACTGAAGTCTCAATTTCTACAAAATGTTTACAACACATGCATTTCATTACCTCTTAGCATGTTCTCTCTTTTTATATCTGTGAAACAGTAATCCTAAATATTAAATGTTTAGCATTGTTTGCATACAATTCTGTATTCTTGGCTAAGTACATAAAAAAGGTGGTAAATATCTTAAAATATTTTAAGTTTGTGATAGGTTAATTTTCTGAAGTTGATACTCTGCTTCCTCCTTACTTTGTCAGCTGAAGAGCTCCTTACCTCTGTGGCTGCAGACACAGCCAGTGTTTCAACAATGAAACACAGAAATCAAAGAAACTACAGCTAGCCTGTGGTGTATGATATAGGCAGCTTTGTCATAGTAGTTTGCTCTGCATTTGTGTGTTGTTCTCAGTTACATACTTCTGAAATGCTTATGAACTGCTTGAAGAGGTTCTGTAAATGTGCGTGCTGTTCCCTGATTTTGATTTTCAGTAGGTTAAAAGGGAAAGAATGTTTGTTCGTACTATATCTCCCACTTGTGAGAAGTTTTACTTTTTAATATGAAATCATATACAACAAATATTTTGGTTTTAGTAAACAGTTTCAACCTTTCATGTAAGAAAAAAAAAAAGATTAGGTAGAATTCTCACTCGTTCTCAAAGTAAACATTCTGGGTTCTATTCACCATGGATAAAGTTGGGATTTGTCTTTTTTAACTCTTTCTCAAGTGACTATGTGCATCCTGTTTAAAACTAATGAGCTGTAACAAATCGTGGTGGTGGATCTGGCTTTTTTGCCTCTCTACTCTGCCTACCCCCAAAGGAAAAAAAAACGAAAAAACAGGCAAAAAAGTATGTAAATCAGAGAAGCATTGAAATAAAAAAGTGGTATTGTGGGACAGCTGCTTATGACAGAATATGTGATGTTTTCTGTTGTATTTTTGAACAAGTAAATTGGACTACAGACCATTCTAGCTCTACAGGTGGTGGTTTCTAGCCCAGCCTACAGCAGTGCAATGGCTGAGTGGGCCGCTGTGACAAGACTGAAGATTTTCAATGGGTGAAGCTTCTAGGTGAAGTAAACACATTACAGACATTAAAAATGTGGCTAGATGGGAAAAAAAAATATGGATTCTTCACATCACAGATGATGGGAATGGAGGACTTCTCTATACCTCAACGTATCTTCAAAATTATGATTGTTGGTACAACCACAAGTTATCCCTACTTTACTCTTATGTCAAGTATTTAATTATTACAAATTAAACTATTTAAAAAAAAAAAAATGTCTGTCCACTTTGCATTGATACACCCTGTTTGGTGTGACATGGCTTGGAAGAGCTGTAGACATTTTTTTAATATTAATGCAACTGAACGTAGAAGAAAGAAGAAAAGAAACCCCAAACTAAGTAGGTATTTCCAGGGACACTTAACTGTAAGTTTTTCCTGGGGCAGAGGGAAGACCAGAAACACTAGGCAGTTCAGACTTTTCTTTTGTCAGATGTGTCCTGCAGCAATTCTTGTGATTTTACAGCTTCTTAAGGAATTGAATATCTTAGTCATGAAAGCTTAGCAGAGCCTAGGTGAAGATAGTAGGGAGAAGGTGATAGCGCTCAAGAATGGGATTTGAGAAAGCGAGTAAAAATTCTATTTTGCTAGATGCTAGGTTGGCGCATCTCCCCTTATAAGGCATGCAAAAGCACTTGACATTTTTCTTCAGCCTGTTGTAGCCAAGTCTGCAACTCCACAGTTCAGAACTGTATGCTAAATATTTCTTGACAGACTTTTGAGTGCCTGAGGAACCAAGAAAAAATGACTTTTGGGACAGCTGCATTTCACGGGATATATAGTTCCGGGTTTGGTTCTCCAAAAATACAAGGCTTTAGAAATGTCAGCTGAATGTTAGACCATAGCATTTTAGAAATTAATTAGCCTACAAAGTTTTATCGTATCTTGCAAAAGAATAGCCCAAAACCTCTACATAATTAGGTTGGGTTTGTTCAGAATGCAGTTAGTGCAGGCTTGTGTTCATAGAAAGCAAAGTCTAGCACTGACTTTGTTTATACTCTGAAAAGTTCAAGAGGAAGACATTGTAGTGTTTGAATTCAATTGATTTCTAAAATGCATGCAGCTTTTATACCATATTCTTATTCTCTTTTATCGTTTAACCAGAAGAAGAAGTTATGTAGCTTTTAAAGTAAAACTACCTACTGGAATGAATGGAAGGGTTTCTTTTTCACTTCAAATATTTAAAATTCTTGATTTTATGTTTCTTCTTCAGTTCTTGTTTTAATAACTCTTCCTGAAAAAGTTAAAGGAGAGGGAAGACAGGCAATAATTTTGGTAGTGCTGCTTGTTAAAACACTAATTGTTTCATATAAAACTGGCCTGTAATATGTTGTTACTCTTTTCAAAAGTAGGTCTATATTGTCTTTGAACACAAAATGTTTAATAAGTATCCATAAATATTTTTACTCATATTTTCTTTCTCTTCACAGTGTGAAGTGCCTCCAGAAGACTGTAAAAGATCCTTACCATATTATTTGTCGACCATGTGCTGGCAAACTAAAAATTTGTGCTAAATGTGGAAAAGAAGAAGAAATAGTAATTCCGTAAGTAGCTCATAGGTTACATAGTTTCAGTACTGCAGTGTTTCTTCCCCTTTTAATAAGGCTTATTTGAAATCTGCCAAGAAGCTGTTGTACTTTATGCCATATTCTGAATAATCCTGACAGGAATCAGTGGGAGTCATTGCCCTCACTTCTGCTGAAACTAGGGGTGAAATGCCTATTGATGTTAGTAGGCTGGGACAAAAAAAAAAGTCTTACTTGGATAAGACACTTTATTTTGCTACCAAAGGGTACATTGCATATCTTCCTTAGGAACAAAGCACTTCAAAATGTATTTCGGTATAGAGCATCATAAAATATACATAAACCAATTTACTGTTTGCATTTCGTCTGTCATTTGATGATTCAGGTACTAGTGAACAGGGAAAACTAAACAAGGGCTGATACTGAGCACAGTTACCGCAATATATTTAGCAGGCTTTTGGGTTTTTATTCTTTTACTACAGTTTTCTATTGACCATCCTGTATTAATTTACTAGTTTATGACAACTGGCCAGCAGTTGCTTAGTTGGTAAAACTGTTCATAGATATTTTATTTTTTTTTCTTCACAAACTCTTTTTTCCTATTCTGTCTTTTATTTCTTTCCTATTCAACATGAAAGTAACTTTAGGTTGCTGTCCCTCTCCTCCTCCTGCCCACCTCCCTCCCCTCTTCCATCCCCAGTGGAATGTTCTACCCTCCATTCCATTCTTGTTTAAAAGAAAAATAAATTCCCAATGTGGGTGGTGATACTATCCTCTTGCTTTCTGCAGGATTGATAAAGGGCAAGACAAGACTGAGAGTGCGACTACTAAAAATGGCCAAGAGAGCAGTGGATTGGAGGATGAGCTGGATTTTGATACAAACTTCAGTAGTGCAGACAGTGATGAAGATTCTGCTGTGCTTGAAGAACAATTTAAAAATATGAATTTTGAAAGGACAGAGATCTAAAAGGTTGAGTTTATACAAGAGACTATGCAATCAAAAGGGGTAAACCAATGTTTGCCTTAAACTGCTCTGAAAACCTGATTTGACATCTAAGGTCCCTGCATATAAATGTTGGCACTGTGTATTATAACGCTTATTGAGGGTTTTGTATAAGTAAATATTTTTTTGTATTAACAGTAGAATTTCTTCTGAAAAGGTTCAGAAATTGAGTCTTTAAACATAGTTATTTCTTGCATACATGTAACAACTTCCTGTTTATCTGGAATAAAGCCTCTTCGTGTAATTGTTCTGAATTCAATATTACACAACTGTTGTATTGCCACTTGGAAAGCTACATGGAAGTCTAGAATAAATACAGAGTCTTGTCATAAAAAAAGAAGAGCTAAACCGGCTGTAATAGTTTGCTGAAGGAAGAACTCGCAACTTCTGTCAATGAGTTTCCAAACAGGGTCAAAATACCAAGCGGTCATTGTCCTTATGCCTGTCATTTCTTTTCTGTGCAGGAAAAGAGGGCCTAAGTGTCACCACCAGTACAGTTCATGAGTAGTTAATGCTTATTTACCACATATAAGTATGCATTACAAATCTGTGACCCTGTTACTACCAATGTTTTGAAAAGAAAAAAAGCTGAAGACTTTTTAGAATTTCTCATAACAGGTCTCCCACTTTCTTTTCCTTTGACTGCAGATTTAATGTAGTTTGCTCTGATACAAAAACACTTGTGTAGTATAGTGTTACTTATATAGTTACTCTCTTCCTGATTTTCTGTCCTTTCTAGGGGTTATTTCAATGTAGATTAAGCTCTAGGAAGGAGCGTAACTGAATTTGCAGTAACTTATCTTTTACGAGATTCAGGATGGTTTGATTTCTTTTGTATTTGCTACCTCTATAAAGGTACTTCCTTTAGTATTAAACAAGTACTTCCTAGTAATTAAATGGTTTAACCTATTACGATATACTATGCCATTTTTACTAACAACATAACAGCTACACATCTACTTTGGCGTTCTGCCTGTTTGCAGTAGTGGGCACAGAAAAAATTGATTCCCAAACTACCTGCTTCAAATGATTGTGAGGGACTTCAGCTCTGGGGTTATTTTCCCCTTCCTGCAATGGGGAAAACACTGAATCACAGAACGGTCATGGTTGGAAAAGACATCTGGAGATCATCTAGTCCAACCCCCCCGCCAGAGCAGGGTCACCTACAGCAGGCTGCACAGGATGGCGTCCAGGTGGGTTTTGAATGTCTCCAGAGTGGGAGA